GGTCAAAGTTTGGCAGTGACTTTTGGGTTACGGCTGGTGTGTACACAAGCAGTAAAAAACTGGGCTTCATGAAAATTTTTTTACAATTTTATATCAGAAGACAATATCAGTAGAGTGAAAAGTAGCCCACAAAATGGGAGGAAATATTTGCAGTCATGTAACTGATAAGGGACTAATATCCAGAATATAAGAGAACTCTTCAGATTCAAGAAGACAAATGGCCTGATGAAGAAACGGGCAATGGACTCTATTAGGTGTTTCTCCAGTAAGCAGATGAAAAACACTCAGTACCACTAAGCACCAGGAAAAAACATATCAAACCCGCTATGAGATATCATCGCACACCCACTAGGATGGCCAGTGAGGTGGCTTTCTGGCCTAAAAAAGCAAAAAAAAAAAAAAACAGAAGGAAAACACAGAAAATAAGTGTTATGTGTCTGATGAGAGGTCAGCATCCAAATGGATGAGGAAACCATCCAACTCAACAGCAAAAAAACCAAGCAAGCTGATTTAAAAATGGGCAAAAGACCTAGGAATAGCCAACAGGTATGTGCAAAGGTGGCCAGTGTCACTAATCATCAGAGAGATGCAAAAAAAAAAGCCTAACAAGATGTCACCTTGTACCTGTCAGAATGGCTAGCACCAAAAAGACAAGAGATAACAGGTGTCGGTGAGGATATGGAGAGGGAGGGACACACTGACGAGAATATAAGCTGGTCCAGACATTAGGGGAACACGGGTTCCTCAAAAAATTCAAAATAGAACCACCACGTGACACAGCAGTCCAGTCCTGGGTACCTACCCAAAGGAAATGAACTCCCCGTGGTAGGAGACTCATGCACCCCACGTTCAGAGCAGCACTGTCCACAAGAGACAAGACATGGAACCAGCGCGGTGTTCATGGGCAGACGGTAAGGAAAACGCGGTGGACGACACAACGCAATACAATTCTGTTAAAAATGGGAAATCCTGGCATTTTGAAAACATGGATGACCTAGTGGACATTATGCCAGGTCCAGAAAGACAGATACCTTGTGATCTCACCCATCTGTGGAATCTGAACAAATTGAACTTGTAAAGCACAGAGTGGAAGGGTGGGTGTCAGGGGCCAAGGATGCTGGAGAGATGGGGAGATTTGATCGCAGATCAAAGAGTTCCAGTTACTCAGGAGGATAAGTTCTGCAGACCTACTGGGACAGTGTGGCAACTGCAGGTAACAATTCTGTGGACTCAAAATCTGCTCAGAGAGTGGGTCTTAAATGTCTTAAATGGTAGACAGTTGTAACTGTGGGAGGTGAGGGGTGTCTTAAGTAACTGATCACAATGCATCGCTGTGTGTAACCAGCACACTGCATACCTTAAACCTACCTCAGTGCCTGCAGAACCTCACAGGACCCCCGCACCTCCAGGGCTCTGGCGTCTGGGCCCTGGGCCTGGACGCCCCAGTGAGTTGGCACTACAGTTGGGCTGGTGCATCTCAGAGGAATGGACCAACCGTGGGAAGCTCAGCCAGCGTCACACAGAAAATATTTGCAGGTTGCCAAGAGAGAGAGATAAGCATTTAGGTATTTTTCCATGGAGGTGGTCTTGTCTCCTTTGTGAATCAAAGTTAAATAGAAACTTCACGTTAACTGAAGCGTTCTAAAGAACAGTAACATTTTCTAAGCTAAGGAGGGGGCATTCTCGGGGGCCCAGAGGGAGGGAGCCACTGTCAGACTGCAGCACCCATGGGCTGCCACAGCACGAGGCCAGCAGAGGCCCCTCAAAATGACCTCCCAATGCCCGCAAGGTGCCAACATGGTCCACAAAAGCTCGGAGAGATTCAGTAACTCCATGTATGACTTATAGGAGCACCAAGAGTGTCTGTGAGCCACAAGGCAGACGTGGAGTCCACAGCCCTGGAGCTCACTTGCTCGAGTTAGAAGACCAACACGGGCCTCCTGGGTCAGAGCCCACCTGCCTGTGGGCTCCCTAGGGAATGCCACCTGCCTCCGGTGTAGTTCTCCCGGCCAGGAAGGATTGAGAAAGGGCAGGAGAGGTGCAGAGCAGTGTCAAGCCTTTACCCAACCTCTGTGTCACTCATAGGCCCCAATGGGACAGCCGCGGAACTTCCTGGAGGCAGAGGGAGGGCCAGTGACCAGCCCTGACCACTCGCTCGCTCTGGGCAGCAGCAGGGGGATGGTCCCAGGGACACAGAGCAGGCAGAGGCGAGGACCCTGGCTGCAGTAACCTCACGCGCCCCTGTGTGGGGCCTCACTTCCTTTTCTTCTGTAGCTACAGGGCACCTGGACTCAGTAAGACCTTCACAGGGGCTGTAGCTGCGTGCTGCCTGGCTCCAGCCTTTGCAGGTGGCTCCCACGGAGCAACCTCTCCTTCCTAACCTGTCCACACCAGCCACATGCTGCAGCACAACCCCCCAACCCCCGCCACACACACACACTCTGGCACCAGCTGCTCCCCTCATGCTCTCTTTCAAGAGATCACAGAAAGGGACATGGGAGAGGGGCTGAGAGCCTGGCTGGACAGTGAGTGCACAGGCCTCAGCGTGGTGTGCAGGACAGGGGCGCAGTGCCAGATGTGCAGGACCTGGTGTGCTGAGCGGTGTGCAGAGCAGTGTGCAAGGCCTGGTGGGCAGAATGGCATGCAGGGCGGTGTGCAGGGTGGTGTGTAGACCACACCCAGTTGGCCCAGCTGTGGGGAATGGGGCCTACAATACAGGGTATGTGATGAGGAGGGACTACAAATGGGGAGCACCACAGTTCTGGACATGCCTGAAAAGGAGGTGATGCACTCTCTGGGGTCTTCCTTCCCTTCTGGGGTTCATTCTCCTCAGCACACGGGCCTCATCATGTAGCCCAAGGACCTCTCTGGCCCTCAGTGGTTGGTGTCACTGTGCTGGAATCTGAGCCTGGCAACCTCCGCTCCCCAGGACCTCACGGCCATCATTGAGGGGTCAGGTGCCACTGTGGGGGAGGGGCTGAGTTCCCCCTCCAGTTCTTTCCTCTCCCTCTAGGTCCTTCTCTTCCTCCTGCCTCCTGACTTCATGCTAGTATAGGAGTGTCTAGTCCAGCACAAGAGCACAGCAGGAGCAGGGTGGAGGGGACAGAAGAGCAAAACAGAAAAGCCTGGTGGAGAGGCTAAGAGGCCAGAGGATGGGAGGATCCCTCCCTACCCCGAATCTGGCTCGCCAAGGAACCCTCCCCAGTTAGCCATGCTTGGGAAGAGGTCCAGTGATGTGTACTGCTCCCCTCATGGTCCGTTTGTGCTGATGGAAGAGTCCCCCAGGACCTTTCTGGGATCCAGCTGCTCCAGATGTTCAATGACCACTGGCTGACCAGCCAGCTGCAGTTAGGGACACTCCTTGCCTCACGTGGCTCTGTCTGGCCTCACTGGTGTAAGGACCACCTTGTACCAGCCCAGCCTTACCCAACAGGAGTCATAGGGCCTTCCCAACAGCACTATGCAGGACCTGAGTTCATTCATGACCTGCAGCTGCATATGAGGCAGGCCTGGCCTCCCTCCCTTGGAAGTAACCCTCCTGTTCCTGCAGTTCTCGTCTGCTCAGATGGGCTCCTTGAGGAGAAGGTTGGGGTGGGCTGTGCTCCAGCTGCCAGGGCCCCCCTGACAGGATGCCTCCCTGGGAGATTGCCCTGCACCTACACTTTGGGAGAACAGCCAAGGCAGGCTCAGCAAGCTGGGGGGACCCGGTCCTGTGTAACACCCTAAGCTGGCTCAATATTCAGCTATTGAAGAGGTAGCTGCCCACTATAGTTCCAGCTGTCCTCTGGATGAAATCTGAGCCTAGGCCCAAGGGAGGCCTCTTCTTCCCATACCCTTATTCCCAGCTCTGAGGGGTCCCTGGACTTCTGCACACCCTAAGACCCCCCAGAGCAGACCCTGTGCACCACCCCCTGCCACTCCTGCTCATACTCACCAAACTAGAGCCATGGGTCACCCTCTGAGCAGTCTTCCCAGCTCACCTGTCCCCCTTGGTCCCAACCTTCATGTGTTTCTCTCTTATGACCGAACACCATCCCTCATCAGCCCTTGACTCTGCCTGCTGCGGCCCCTCCTTCCTGCACCCAAGGCTTGCACATTGTCTATGGAGACGCCAGGCCTTTGCTGAGCAAAACTGGCTACAGACCTGCCAGGAATGACCCGTTTGTCCCCCTGGAGCCCAGCAGAGTGGCAACCAGACACAAATTCCTCTTACAACACGGCCCACCTCAGGTCCAGCACAGCTGCCCAGTTCCAAAGCCTGATGACCAAAGGTCAAGACTATTTCCCTACACGGAGAGGACAGATGTCCACCTCCTGTAGGATGACCAAGGCTGCCCAGCACAAACAAGAGCACAGGGGTTGGCACAGAGTGCCCCTCACAGACTTGGCCCCCCAACAGATGGGATTTGCTGCCAGGGCCCTGTTCTATCTGCTCCTGCCCCTGGGAGTGCCCCTCTTCCCTCTTCTGTCCCCACCTCTCCCTACTGCCCCGCCAGCAGCAGGAGGTGATGGGGCACCATGGCGGTGGAGGTACAACCCGCAGAGTAGGGAAGCTGCACGCTCCAAAGCTTCAGATCCAAGCCGGGACAGGTGCCCTGTAAGCATACACAAGAGGCTAGGCCTATACCCCTCCCTGTGTGATCTGCCCCTGCAGCCAAGCTGGCCTGGGCAACAGAATGTCGGGCAGTGCAGCTTTAATGGCTGGAACAAGGATGAAGGAGCCAAACTTGGCAGGAATTCCAGCTCCCTCAGGCAGGGCTATCTCAGAACCACTATGAGGACTAAACATACTAAAACACCAGGGAGAACCTGGACAGGTGACATCCCAATTCACCTGCTGCTGACCCATGTGATCATGTCCAGCCCCCTTCCCTTTGAGGAGCACCACACCCCAGCACCTCCCTGGGCAGTGCTACTAATAGGCTCAGAGAGGCTCACATAGCCCCAGCTGAGCTCACCTAAGGCAAGAGGAAAGGGAAAGACAGTGGCCGGCCAGTTACCTGCAGCTGGCCCAATGAACACACAGTACCCGTCCTCCTGGGCAGGGAGTGAGGCACAGGTGACGGGCAACTGGCCCCCGTCCAGGTGGCTCCAGCATGCATCCTCCAGGGCCTCACAGAACTGGCGGCAGGGTGGAAGGGCAAGTGGTGGGCCCGGGCCTGGGCCGCATGGTGGGGCCAGCAGCAGGCAGAAGAACCAGGTGAGGAAGGGGTGGCAGCGCGTCCGGAGGAGGTCCCCCCATGCCTGTGCGGCACCCTGCACCTCCTCGCCGCTCTCATGATGGAGGTAGTTGGGCAGCCAGGAGTGCCCAATGCCCAGGTGGCCGCAGACAGGCAGAGTGGGTGGCAGGGGCAGGCAGCGGCTGGCAGGGGTCAGGGGGCCAGCCCCGAGCAGTGTGGAGTTATTAGCAAGACCAGGCACCACAGAATTAGCGGCATAAGAAACCCAAGCACCACTGTCTCCACGCAAAGCTGCCGCTGCTGTTTCAGACAGGTGGGTCCAGGGGGCAGAGGAAAGGGCAGGGAGTGCACTGTGTGCGGCCAGGGGACCCGTCACCAAGGGAAGCAGAAGGGGCATGGGGATACTGGCGGGATCCTGGTCGTGGTGCTGCTGGCCGGGACCAGCTGCCACAGGCAAGCGTCCTTCCCATTCCAGATCCTGGGACTGCCCAGGGGGCTGCCGTCTTTCCCAGGGAGGGGCTATGCCTGATGCAGAGGAGAGAGTTCTACCTGGGGACACCGGGGATGCCAGGAGTCCCTTCAGAGGTGCCTGGAGGCTGACCAGAGAGGAAGATGGCTGGGTGGGCAGGGCCAGGGTGCTGGTCTCCGTTGTCAGGGTGTCTGGAGTGCTCAGAGCTCCACTGCTTGGCCAGAGTGCGGTCCCGCTCTCCTGGGGGGTGCGGGAGAGCCCAGCATGGGTGAGGGGGTCCGTGGAGACCGAGGAGGCAGAGCTCTCTGGAGGGGTAGCATTGTCCCACAGCTGGACGAAGCTGCGAATACCCTGAGCGACATTCAGGATCTTGGTTCCGACACCAGCAACATTCTCCTCCTTCACGTCTGGGCTCGCAGAAGAGGCAGCTGTGGCTGTGGAGATGATGGGGGAAGCAGGGGCTCCTCTCTGGCCAGCCTCCTGATCCTCCACAGGCAGCTTGGGGCTGTCAGAAGCTGGGCTTTGCTCCGTGGGGTCATCTTGGAAGACCACGTGCGTGGTGGAGGCCTCTGTGGGCTGCACAGGTGGGCTGCCCTGGGGCTTGGAGACCAGTGTGGCTGTGGAGTCAACAATCTTATTGGACCATAACCAGTCCAGGCTCAGCAGGTTGGCCCCGGCAGGCACAAGGCAGCAGGTAAGCAGCAGCAGCAGGCAGAGGCATCTGCTGGGGTCGGGAGCCATCAGGGCTGTGCGTGCTGGAGCGGGGGAGGCTCCTGTGGTCCTGTGGGTGGTGCCTGCTCAGCTCCCGCCCTCCCCACTCTGCACCACTCATTTCCCTGCTCACCCCCTGCTGCTTTCTTCCACCTTTTCACTCTTGCAGAAGGAAAAGGCCCAATCCTGGGAATCAAGGTAACCCACCGACCTTCATATGCCTCTCCATGCTGCCACAGCATGCACAGAAACAACCAGCTGAACTCCCAACTGGCTCTGCTGGGAGCTGCTAAGCCTCTGCCTGGGCAGTGTGTGGGCGTGGGGGCCTCTGGCCCGGGCCCCCGGGGACACAGAGGCCTCAGCCCCAGCCTCCGCTCTCCCTCCAGTGGAGAACACCCGGAAGTCCTGGCCCAGGGCCACTGCTCTGTGGTAAAACTGGAACTTTAAAAATGCTCGGCTTGTTGCAGTTCCAATTCTTCTGTTGCAACTGTTGCCTCCAAGATGGGAAATAGGAGAGAAGACTGAGAGGAGGGTGATCCACGTGCAACCCGTCCAGACCTGAAGCAAGCCTTCCATCTCCCCACCCCCCACCCATCTTCCCTCTGCTTCACTGCAGGCCGTGGGTGAACAAATTGATTTTCCTCCTTCTGTTCCAAAATCCACTTGCATGGCCCCCCGCTGAGCTCTCTGCACACCTGCATTTTTCTTGGTTTCCTCCATCACTTCCAGGTCCTGCAGGTGTTTCTAAACTGATTTTGGGGAATGGCTTAAAACTGACAAACATAGCAGCAGTGGGCACTAACACGAAAGCAAAGGGAGATTAATGGCATCTCCTAGGATTGACAGTGCTATGAACAGTGGGTTTCTGAACTCCTGTGGAGTCCAGTTACCTGTGTGTAAAGTGCATAGCACTGCTCAGAGGCCTGTGGAGACACTTTGGTCATTCCAAGTCCTTCAAGATGGCTAGTTGAGCAAGCTCTGCCCACAGCCTGGGTGCGACCTGAAGGCTGGTGGCACAGAGGCCAGATGGAGCGAGGGGAAGTCCGAGTCCCGGTGTGTCTCTGCTCTGTTATCATCTGCCTTGGGGGCAGTGTCCAGGAGGGGACAGTCTTGTATTGCTGTGCTCAGCATATGTGTTCTGAGGTCAGTCTACTTCCCACCCTGCTACTTTCCTTCCCTCAAGCTGCTTCACAGAACACACCGTTCCACCTGAAAAACAAAGGGTGTTGCTGGTGGCCTGGGCTGCAGTATGCACACCAGATGTCTGCATTTTATTGCAACCATTGCCCGCCCCACGAGGCCAGGTCTGCTCTTCTGACAAACACTTCACAGATGACGCTGGAAGGCCCACCCTCCCTGCTAGCACTATTCATAACCCACCAGGAGGGGTCTTCCAGGCCCACTGCCTGCCTCCCTGCCCCGAGTCCTAGGCAGTAGCAGGATGCAGGTCAGAGGAGGCACACCTGCCCTGACAGCTTGACCCACTGGCCAGGGGCCCCACTAGCTCCTGTGACACTTGGGATCTTTGGCAAAGCCAGACTTGGGGACCAGGCTGTGGCCAACATCTGTGAGATCTACACATTCCAGGGTCACTGGAGTGAGAGGCCCAGACCACAGCTGGGCCGGCAGGGAGACGGCCGTCATCTTACACAGGGGAAAAGTAACCTGTGAAGGTCAGGCACTGAGCTGTGCTCAGCCAAACCCTCACCAGGTCCCTCCTCTGTGCCTGCCTCACCTCTGGGAGCAGAAACCAGCTTGCCCATGGTGTAAGCTTGAGTGCATGTCAGGCCGTGTGAGCCCATGTCAGTCTATGAATACCTGTGTGACCCTGTGGCAGCCCATAAGAACTCATGTGAGCCTGTGTGAATCTCTGTCAGCCCACAGAACCTGTGTGGGCCCATGGTCAGCCCATGAGTACCTATGTCAGCCCTTGACGACCTGTGTGAACATTGACAACCTGTGAGAAACTGTGTCCGTATGACCCCATACGAACCTGTGTGAGCCCACGAGAACTTGTGGGGAACCAATCCCACGGCAGTGACTAGCAGCTATCATAGAGGGGTGCAAGGGCCTCACCTCGTCCTGAAAGGGCCCCTTTCCCTCTCCCAGTCCAGTGAAACATCAATAATTGACACCATACAAGTGGGCAGGAAGCAAAAAATCCCTGTGGGAAATGAATGTTTCACAGGAATGATAATGGTTAATTCAGCCTTTGCGGAAAAAGAAGAAAAGGACTTTTCTACCTGGATTAGGTGCCTCTGTGAAGTACAGCTATCACAGAAGATGAGTATGGGTCCCAGGCAGGGCTGGGAGGCTGAGGCCCAGCCGCACACAGATAGAGGTGGACACTGGAGAAAAGGGGTATAGCTGGGCCATGACCCCTGGCTTCCTGCAATGCCTGGCACTGCCTCTGTAAGGCTGGCTCAGCAGGGCAGGCGCAGCACGGGATGCCCTCTGTGTGCCAATGGCGCCTTTCTGAAAGCCTGTCCTCCCCTGGGACAGTGGGCAGGACTATGGGGACACACTGGGCCTTTGAAAGGAAACCATTGCAGTTGCTCATTTTGAGATTTTCAACAGCAAATTTGAAAGTTGAGACCAACAGAAAACAATCTAACTGTTGACAGTTGTTTGCATTTCTGTGAAATTTTGTATCACTGAGTAGAATCCTGCACAGAAACAGAATCAAGGAGACAGGCTGGCTCTTCACCCCCTGCTTTCCATGGCACCCCACCCACAACACCCCACCATTAACCTTCCTGCTGTCCATCTTCCTGCTGGGCCCCACAGGACCCAGCTAGCTGCCTCACACCCACTGTCCAAGAGCAGGGGCTGCTCCCCAGATATCAACACACAAAGCAGAGTTCCTAAATATGGCTCCTAGGAGGAAGACAGCCGGCTCTGGGTGAGTGGCATTGGAGTTGTGGTGGCCTCAGCCCAACTTCTCCTGGGGCCTGGTGGGACTAAGTTGGGCCTCTCTAGGACATTACAGGTGTCCCACACCTATCTGACTACTTCTCACCCAGTGCAGCATCTGGGGCCCCCAACTTGGGAAGGGTAGGTGTTTATCCAAGAAGTAACAGAGCCCTGCACCCTGATTATTCCCAGATTGGGCACCAAGTCCAGGCTGACAAGTGTGCCCTACTTGCCTGTCAGGCAGGGAGCTGCCACTTGGGTCTCCTCCAAGCCGTCAGGACCTGGGCAGCACTTTCTGGGACTCCCAGAGTGGGGGACACAGTGTCCTGTGCCTCTGCTCTGGATCATGACAGAGGGTAGACACAAGGCCAGGAGGAGCAGAGAGGCAGAAAGGGACCTGCAGGACACCTGCTAGGCCGAAGGGCAGGCCAACCACAGAACAGAGACAGAAACTTGGGGTCCAGGCAGAGCCTTGAGAATAAGAGACCAGAACATTCTATTGGGACCAAGGAGGAGAAAGCTAGTGTCCAATGGCCAGAAGTGGGAGGTAGCAAGAGTCACCCTGAGAGAAGCACTGGAGAAGCAGCCACAGCCTAGGCTGGCTTCCTCAGTGCCATGCACAGAGGGACTCACTTGATGGACAGGAGCCTCTGTCCTCCTCTCTAGCCATGGTTACACTGCATCTGGCCACACCTCTACTGGTCCTCCCAACTCTGTGCCTGGGATGCCCATGAGGGTCACTCCAGGTGGAAGCGATTTCCACTCCAGCATTGTTGCCAGTGTCACCTTCCTAGGCAGAATCCATGGCTCCCTCCCTGGGTTTCCTCATGGCTGGACAGGAATAGTCCACGAAGCTAGCAATCCCACAGGGCTGTGTGCAAAGCATAAATTGCTACTAAAGGTCCATGGCTGTCCAGACATAGCACTTAGCCTGTTCTGCAGAAAAAAGGAAACTGAGGCACAGAGGCCTGAGGGTCCAGCTCAAGAGCACAGACGCTGTAAGAGGGAGTCAAAATGGCACTCGGGCAGCTGCACGAGTGCACTCACACACTCACTCATGTAACACACTGGCACACATGCACACTCACGTGTGATCACATGGCACACACTCACATTCAGACACACACCCACAGTTTTTACCGCCATGTTCCACGCTAAGCCCCACCCACAGCTCACAGGCAAGCTATGCCCTCTGCTGAGTCCATCCTTGCCCCACTTTGTACAGGCTGTGTCCACCTTCTCCAGGGCTGCATGTGGCAGCTATGACGAAACAGCCCTGAAGACATGTCCCCAATGGTCTCCAGCTCAGAAAACAGGAGCATCCACCGATTGGTGTCCAAAGGGCAGGGCGTCCTGGTTTGGGATCAGAGCTCAGTTGCAAACAGCTGAATGGTGTGTCCTCTGTGTATTGGCAGGGCACACCATATGCAAACATCTGTGTCTCAGTGAGCCTAGTTCCCAAAACTAATCCCCATAATGCTCAGAGCTCTATTAGAAATGCCCAAGGAACAATCTCTCTGCTTGAAAACTCACTGGCACTAATGTATTTTATGCCTCAAAGTGTCTCTGGAAAATCTCAGGACAGAAATTCCAGAGGTCCCCTCCCCCCAGCACTGTTGAGAGAGGAAACTCTGGGCTCTGTTGGGGGTGGGTATTGTCCACTCCTGTCAGGGTGGGGTGCCCCTGCCCCATCTAGATGGCTCTGGGCTTCCCACCAGGAACACACACACACTTTCTCTCATGGGTGCTCACACACGTGTATTCATTGACGTACATGCATGCACATACACTCACTCACACATGCACACATGCTCAGTGTAGACGGGGACCTGTCAGCACTGTGGCTAGGGTCCTGCAGGCAGCATGCTCTTTGCCCTATCCAACCCCATGTAAAGGGTCCTCTATCCATCTCATTACAGCATCACTGTCTGTATGCTCAGAGGAACAGGCCCACCACATGGGTCAGTGTTTCAGGGTGTTCCCTCACCCTTGGGGCGGAAGCAGCAGAGACACTGCTGAGCGAGAGCAGCACCAACTGTTTCCCTGCAGCTCCTCAACCTCTCTTGGTGAGGACAAGCTCAGGCCCTTTCCAGATGAAACAGTGTCATGGTGAGGACCTTGCACGTCTGTGAGACACATGGAGACTGCTTCACTGGAATGACACCCGTAA